TAGCCCGACAATGAAGACATTTTCAGGCAGATACCGGAGTTCTGGCGGTAAGTTCATGCAGCACAAGATCACGGCTCCGCAGGAAACACCTTTTCCTAAAAAAATAATTCTATTAACTATAAGTGAGTTGTTCTAGAGGCATACCAGATATTTTATTCCCGTAGGGATTGAACCAATCGATATATATCCCGAAGACCAGATTATATTTATTAGACAGATAACCTTGAAGATTGTGCCAAGCCCGGCTATCTCGCAAGTCATTGATTGGTTCACCTGGGAGTGATTCTGATTTGTTGAATGCCTTCTCCAAGTTATCCTCGATGACACGCTGAGATAAAAAGAATTCAAGCCAAGATTCGAACTTCTGGGTATTAAACATTGTGTGCGGAACATCCTTGAGTCCTGTTCCAGTGCGCCTTTTCCGACGCAGATCTGTATTACATGCACGAGCACCTTTTGACCGTTTGAAGGGGCACCGGGCAGGCATATCTTGGACTGTTCCTTCATACACTGTATAGCACTTCGGACAACAAGCTGTCCGGACAATCTCTGGCTCCAGTTTATAGCGCTTGTGAGCTGTGCGGATATCTGCAGGAATTTTGACAGACGGAATTTTTGCGGAGATTCCTTGAGCAACTAGAGAAGCCTGTACCATCTCCAGAGTGACAGAAATGATAAATTGCAGAGCTTTTAGAACAATGTTCACAGTATCACGGCTGACACCAGCCCCTGCATGAAGCCATATCGCGAGCAAGCAACAGAGCTGGATAATGAGTTCTGATTGTGCTGAATCCTGTGTATCACCCAATCCGGAAGTTTCTGTACAGAAACTAGGGTGAAAACAATTTTTTCTTTGTTGTAGGGAGACTCACCAGATTGTTCATCGGTTGTCTCGCCTTCTTCCTCCGAGGAAGTTTGATGTCTCTTCTTTCTTTTCTTCCCACCAAACATGTGCTCCTTTCGAGTTTGAGGATGAACTCTCTTTCCAGGCTGTGCTGTTCCATCAATGACAACTGTATGCTTCCTGCAGCGAGTGCAAACACAGATTGCGGAGATCTTGAGAGGCATTTTGGGGGGAAAGCAGAGGAAACAAAGATACGGTGCGGGTCTATATAAATTACTAGCCGTACATCAGTCATGTGTCAAATTTCGACAGCCTCTATGTGGGTTCCCATGCGGACAATATCAACATATCAGATTCTCGGAAGTTGAGTAGTGATTCGAGCATCACATCATTTTCCACTGTGGGATCCTGTTGCCCAACTCGCACCGAGGGTGATCGGAAAAAGTTGGATGTCTGATTAATTTGACCAAGTTTGCGTTGAAAGTGATTGCAGGTACACAATGGAAATAACGGTAAATGCGAGAAGCGTATCTGATTATAGAGGTAATGACAAAATATTTTCCAACTCTCGGAATGCCTGAGCGAATTTACGAAACATGTTAACACAGGCATGTTGTGGCTGTTCAAAAATATGTGGGACTAATGAACCCGCACAAAAGATCGGCATAATATTGCAAAGAAGGAAAGGATCATAGTACATGTTGCATAGACTCCAGGAATTGTACCGTCAAGCCTCCATATCATCCTCGTCATCGCCATCTGTGTCCTCGAGGTCTGTTTCCTCCTCATCGTCAGAGTCGCTCCCATCAGTAGTGCCCTCAGAGCGAAGTCCAGCGAGCTCTTCCTTCGTCGGAATTTGATACTGTGCAAGGACATCATTCCCATACTTTGCCATGAAATCCTTCGCACCCAACCGGGCCCAGCTGTCGTGATGTTCCGTGGTGCAGAACTGGGGGAGTGGGAAAGCGACTCCAGTGTTGACATACATGGCCTTTTCGTGAAGGTCAAACTGTTCGTTGTAGAATTTCGGTGCCCAGAAGTCGATGGGAACACCAACAGGAAGAATTCGGGAAAGAGTGGAGAAGGTAGCTGGGTTGGCGAGGCTGCGACGTTCCGGTTTTCTGGGATTGTTGAGCAAAGTATAAATTGTATGATACGAATAGTGTATACCTTTTCTTGGTCGGACTGCGCTCCAGTCGCTTCAATATTTTTCGGTCCTGCTCTGCGAAGAAAGAAGTGACAATTGGATTGCGGCCCTCCTTCGTATGGACAAGGAGTCCTCGCTTCTTCCTTGAATCGCCCCCCGGAGGACGCTCATCATCTGAATGCGAAGCCTCCACCTTTACGAGTCGAAGAATTGGTTTCCGGTAACGCAGTGACTTGACTTCCTTGTAACGCCTCTTACAAAGCTGTCCTCGGATAAATAGGATAGAATATAGATAGAAAATATACGACTTACCCGCAGGCGCCGCTTCTCCGCATTAGATTTATCTAGAGCCTTTCCGAGACTCCCGGGAGTGTTGAACTCCTTGCGACTGTTCGTCCTGATCGTTCCAAACACATAGTTATCGTACATCTCCGAAAGGAGATGATAATCGCCAGCAACGGTGGTCGAAGCACCAAGTGTGGTATACCCGTACCACGAGACAAGTAAGTTGAAAGTGGAGACGGCAAGATGCCGATGCAGCTGGTTGTACGTTGAGTGAGTGGGGCCAAAGACGTCTGGATGAAAGGTTTTAAGCCCAGCGCGAGTGACAGCCCCGAACACGAAGGCAATGTGCTCAGCTGGAATCATTGCAATATCCTTTGCAATTTGGCCATATACGCCAGGTTTGCCCGAATCCTCTCCCTTCGCAAGTACCTTCACGTCTCTGATGAGCCGCTCCGCGCGTTTGACCGCATCTTTGTTCGGTTTCTTGACCTCTGAAATAATGGCCCTCATATGTGCTTCCATGTCTTCGACATCGTCGAAGCGCTTATCGTAGTGGTCGATGTAATCGTCGGCAGGGCCCAGAACTGCATCAGCGGTCAAAAGACCGCAGGCCATGCGAATGTGCCGCTGAAATGCACGCTGAAAGAAGTCAACTTGAATACAGTGCAAGAAGAACCAGTGCACACACCTGAGTGGGTTTTGCATTCTGTTCAACATCGTCCGGAGCAATTCCATGAGGATTTCTCCGACGTCCATTTCCCCCACCACCGCTCTCGGGCCCACTACCTGCCGTCGTGCCGCTATCATTGCCGCCAGCATTGGTGCCCTGCTCAGATGAGGCTGGAGCAGCAGGCTGCTTTCCCTGCGCTGTTTTACTCCGTGCTTTCTTTGTCTTCGACGCGGAGGCACCCCCAGTGCTAGATTTGCGCTTTCTGTTCGATCCGGCCATAGTTATAATGCAGAGAATCGAGTTATTGAACGAAGATGAGGCGGCTCCGGAATCTAGCAAGACTCTAGCTCCAGAAGTGAGTAGACGCAATGAAGTACCAGAACAAAGAACTTCGGATGTACTATAATTAGTGACGTGTGAAATGTTGTGGTCTCAATTTGATCCGGCTCGGAGATTGGACGCTACAACGAGGGTGTGGCAAGTGCAAGGCAAGTGCGTGTCGGATGCCACTAGCATGCCGGTATGGCAAGTGCTAGTTACTTTGCCCCCTGTGGGGGTTCGATTCCCCACCGGTGCATGTAACTTCCCCCACGACTTTTTTATCCTAGGCCTCCCTGAAAGCCTATGAGACCAGCGAAACGAAAACGAGAATGAGAACGAAATTTAGTTGCAGGGGACAGAATGAGTGTTGAATGCACCGCTGGTGCGTAGACTTGTTGCACTCACCGATCTTGCTTGAAGAGGGACTCTGACGCAAGAGTCGGACGGGGTTCCATGGTGCGTGTGCACGGAGTATATCGTGCCTTTTGTCTCCCCGAGGATGTGAACCCGGAATAGAGACTACGGGAACTTCATCATTCAGTCTTTTGAGTCGCGGACGAGGGAATGAACTCTGGTTTTAAGCACCGGGCCAAAGATTTCAAATTGAGCGAACGGCGTTGGTGCATAGGATCATCGCGAATAGTGCCCTCTTGAACGATGTGAAGGAAACCGGGAAGATCTGTGCATTCGGAAAACTTTACGCACCTGAGGAGCTTGAGAATCGGCCCAGTACGGTGGTGTGGGGTGCAACCAGCGACACTGTTTACGCTGAACATAAAAATAAGCACAATACACATGGCCTGTAAAATGAGCCGTGGAAGCAGTACTAGCGCGTGTTGCACCAACCGAAACTTCAAAAGGCCGATACTATAGGCTGTGATGTGGGCGGTCGAAAGGGGTTCAATTCCCCAATTGTGCATAGGGTGTTGATTATGTCGTTTTTACACCAGAACTGGAACCAGAGAAGAGAAACATACTTCATGGGCTGTAAATTTTGATATAACTAGGGGTCCGATCATATTCCCCCATGCTGCTGCCGAATTCTATTTTTTTACTCCAGGAATCACTTACCTACATATAGTCTAAGTTGGGAACAAGTAGCGCCTTTGCCCAAATTTATTTTCAAATCTGCAGCTGTGAGCTAGGAAATGTGATAGATGGTTGAACCTCACCAGCATCGTAATCAACTTTGCATGCACTGCTGGGGTGTGGTACACCCGTGAATTCAAGCTCAAAAGATTGAACGAGGGGGTTCGAGTCCTTCACAGTGCATATCGTGGCATTAAGCGAGTCTTTTTGTTGGATCTGAACTACAATGAAAGTTGTCTGAACTGACTTGGAAAAATGAGAATGACGCACCTCCTGGACGGCAGAATCAACTCTGAAAGAACCAGTGGTGCGTTGTACTCCACCGTCTAGATCTATTCACTAACCCGACAGACTATGGCGCGGGCCGCCAGAAGGGGTTCGATTCCCCGTTGGTGCATACGGAAACCATCAGCGAATGTTTTTCCGTTGAAGAAGTCTATTGGAATGAGACTCGAGGGAACCTCATCATCCACGGGTGGCAGGATGGACTGTGAAAATATTTTATAATGTACTGGGACACAATTTGAAGTGGAACGAACGGCGTCGGTGCGTAGGGTCGCGGATAGCGTCTTTTCCCCCTCTTCGACGATGCGTGAGGTGGAAAAATGTTAGGTACCTCACAGGCCTCGGAATAAAGCTTGAGAGCGCCGGTGGTGTGTGGTACACACGTGCACGCCCACACGATTGTTTGGCGCAAGAGTTGAACAGCGAGATGGGGTTCGATTCCCCGCCGGTGCATACATAGCCTGGATGAACAAATCTTTTCCTATGGTTGAGAATAGCGTTTTCCTGCCAGCTGGGTGGAACGAGAATGAGCATGAGCGGGGGTATGTAATGGGGGCAAGAATTGACTTTGAAAGCATCCGTAGTGCGTGGTACATGGTTGTTCTGCCGTTACCAGAAGTTAAACGGCGAGAAGGGGTTCGATTCCCCGCCGCTGCACGAGCGAAAGGCGGACGAGTGCCGAAAGATTTCAGGCGGTAATCATGTGGATGTGGACGGGGAAAATGTGATGCATTTCGCGGGCGGTAGGATGATTCAGAAGTTTGAAAGTGCTAACACCGGTGGTGTGTGGTACACACGCTGACACGATCTTTGGCGTCATCACTTGACAAGAGTTGAACGTTGAGCAGCGAGAGGGGTTCGATTCCCCGCCAGTGCATAGGGCTTCGTTTGCAGTCTTTTTTTCGACGATATGAGTCAGGAATATAGATTAAAGCGTACCTCTTTGTCTTAAAAGGCGAGAGATTTCGGGCGGTAAGCATGTGGATGTGGGTCGGGAAAATGTGATGCATTTCACGGGTGGGAGAACGAGGTTGAAGGCACCGGTGGTGTGTGGTACACACTTACACACGCTGACACGATTGTTTGGCGTCATCACTTGACAAGAGTTGAACGTCGAGCAGCGAGGGGGGTTCGACTCCCCCCCGGTGCATGCCCGAGTCGCGACTGAAATCAGTATCCTCCTTTTTTCTTTCTTTTCCTGTCTTAAATTACTTTCTTTTCCTTTCTCCAAAAGGCGTTGGTTTGGTACACCCCACATCGCGGTACTTACACCCCACATCGCTTTCCATGCTGGTAACATTTGAGTCTGATTCTGATTCTGATTCTGATTTTGAATGGCGAGGACGGCTCGATTTCCCGTTGGTGAATAAGTTGCGGTGATCGATAAGTTGCGGTGATCGACTCGGATTCGACAGGCTCTCAAGACTCACCCGGGGATTCAATTCCCCATCACTTCATGTGGCCGCTCAAACATTGTTTCCGTTCTTGTGAGTTGAGGAATCCGGATCTAAGTATCTTTTTCATTCGGTTCATCCCTCACCGAGGTGAGAACAACCTTGAGAACACCCACTGGCGTACCGCGGACCCACCGAAGCGAAGCGGTGACTATATTGATAGTAGCGGTGACTATATTAGTAGCATAGCGCTCGTAGCGGCCGTCGGCGAGAGGCGCTCGTAGCGGCCGTCGGCGAGGGGTTCGATTAATATTCCCCGCTGGTGCATAGCTAATAGGAGCTTGAGAATCAATGTTTTTTTCTTCTTTTCTTCTGACTAGTGATGTTCAAGTTCTGACGATGTGAATCAGGAAGGAATATAGAGCGTACATCCTAGTCGTGGATGGGAGATTGAATCAACTACGACTTTCAGATAATTTAAAGGCCCAGGGAAAAATTGAAGACGGATTACCGTGGGTGCATATATTTGGGTCGGAACGGCTGGGAATCTGGAGAACGTCACGTTCTCCAGCAATGCTGCACCGCCCACGGGAGAATAGGCTTTTGAGCCTGAGGCGCCGCTGGTGTGTTCCGGATCCGCTGGCACGGGTTCAACTTCTGGCCACACCACTTGAGAAGCGTTGAATGGCGAGAGGGGTTCGAGGCCCGCTGGTGCATACATACGTTCGGGTACGGGACATTGCATTTTTAAAATTTTTTGACGACCGGCGACGATGTGCATGTGATTTGTTTCCCTCCTCTACGAGACGGTGCGATTTATTTCCCTCCTCTACGAGACGCCTCCTCCACGAGACGCCTCCTCTACGAGACGCCTCCTCTACTAATACGAGACGCCTCCTCTACGAGACGGTGCGAATTACTTGTCTGACGCGGGGGGGGATGTATTATAAGTACTCGCGTGGTGAACTGGAAAAAATGAATAACATCTTTTCTGTCGGAATGAGAATGAGAATGAGAATGTGTCTGACTCGGAGCGGGGGATGTATGGGCGCAGGTATGAGCTTTGAAGGGCGCAAGAATGAGCTTTGAAAGCTCCTGGTGCGTGGTACATGAAGTGAACTGCAAAGATGAGATGAGACACATCTCACCAGTGTCGGCGTCGGAAGAGAGGTCAAAGCCGGTGGTGTGTGGTGCATGCACCGGTGGTGCGTGATACATGCACCGGTGGTGCGTGATGCATGCACCTATCGAAGCGCTGAGCGTTTGCGTTGTATGGCGCTAGTTGGCAGTTGCGGCGAGAGTATGTAGTAGCTCTAGATCTGACTCGGAGACGGGGTTCGATTCCCCGCCGGCGCATATGTCTTCGTACAGCCCCGTTTTGTGTTTCTTTCGTTAGATCTGTGTTTTTCGTTCGTTAGATCTGTGTTTTTCTTGTGTTACAGATCGATCTGTGAAGTGGGGACGAAACACGCGTACTTACAGCGAACTTGATGCGGGGCAGAATGGGATGTTGAAAGCACTGCTGGTGTGTGGTATGCACGCCGACTCGGACACGACTGTGCTACAGAGCACAACACCACGGCGACTAGCGCGAGACGCAGGGTTCGATTCCTCAGCGGTGTGTTCGTCTATACCATTGTCTTTTTCGTCTTACTGATGAGCGATCCAATAGGCGTATGAAAATGTAATGCACTTGCGGAGGTTGGAGTCGAGGTTGTTCGCAATACACATCCGCGAGTCCCTCGATTACTTGACAGCAGGGAGTTGGAATAATCACTTGCCGGCCGTTCTGTGCGTTGGATGAATGACGTGGACGGAGTTAGTTATTATTGGCGATGGGTGCAGGTTTCGGAAGCGGAGGAGAGACAAGATCCACCCACGTAACGCACCGGGATGGTCGGGAACGGCACCGGGGTCCGGGGTTCAACTGGTTCGCAGTCGGCAGAGTTATTCCGGGCTAAATTTGGTGACGCCGACGGCCGTGACGGTCCGTGCACTGTTGAATAGAGCGGAAACACCAGCCAGCATGCAACACCTTCCTCCTACTACAATGTAACCTCCCTCGCTTTTTCAACTCTCCACTCGGTTGCATTTCGGGTGCACTCACTTCGGTACCTTGGACACATCACGCGCCCCTATTCGTAATCCCGAAACGCTGACCAATCTCCTCATCAAGCTGATCTGATCTGATGCCGGCCACCCACGGCAGCGGTCTCTGCTTCTCTTCCGCTCTTCTCTTCTCCACTTCGATCTCGTTACCCCGCACGCACGCACCACGTCGCCTCCTCCCTGCTCGACGCTCTCACGGACGGATTAGAGGATTCAAGGATTGAAGGATTGACGGACTGAAGGAAGGAAGGATTGAATAGGATAGGAACGGAGACAGGAGAGACGCACGAACGGACCGGACCTACAGGCTACACGGGGGAACGGATACTCGAAACTCCACGCACCGACTCGACTCTACGCTCTACGCTACGGAACTCGACTACCGCACTTGTACTCGAAAGGAAGAAGACTCAAATCGACTCGACTCTACGCAAGGAATCGACTATACGCAACAAATATACGGACGCAACGAAGGAATCGACTCTACGCAAAGGAACATGGCTCCCGCGTCCCACACCGCCATTTTCACCGCCCCGCCGCCCGTCGCGACGCCCTACAAGCCCGCCGAGGCGCTGTCGGACCTCCCCGGCGTCGCGTATGCGCTGGATTTGTTCCTGAGCTCGAAGATGCATGAGAGCGAGGTGCGTTGTGTGTTTATATATTTACATTCACTACGCCCATCCCGTCCCGTCCCGTCTTTTCCTTCCTTTCCTTTCCTTTCCGTCACGGTATTCTATCCCGATTCCATATTCTTACATTACATCCCACTCTTCCCTACCCTTCGACGACCGCACCCCGTCCACATATCTTATGAGCCTGATACTGATACTGATGCTAACACTCGACACTCGCCGCCCAGGACTACATGAACGCCTCGGACGCCAAGAAGGAGCGGCTCTACTTCGCGACGGGCTACGGGCTCATTCAGTGTGTGAAGGGGCTGATGAGCTATGCGGATGAGGTGTGTGTGCTGCGTTCCTTTCCTTCCTTTCGTTTCCTTTCTTTGCGTTCTCTTTTTCCTATACGCTTTCTTTACCCCCTACTTGCTTTACAATTCTGCATCCCGTCCCATTCCGTTCTTCACTGCTGCCTTCCCTTAGTATCCCGCTCCCCCCTTCGTATACGTCCTCCTGCTGGTCCCTTCGTATACGTCCTCCCGCTGGTCCCTCTTACCCTCCTTCCCCCACACTTTCACTCTCGTTCCCTACCTCTCCGCTCTTTCCCAACCCCAACCCCTCCCCGTCTCCCTCCCTTCTCCTCCCTCTTTTCTCCGCCTCAAATTATCCACCTACTAACACTCCTTCCACCTACTAACACTCCTTCCACCTACTAACACTCCTTCCACCTACTAACACTCCTTCCACCTACTAACACTCCTTTCGCCACAGGACCTCCTCGCCGCAATCGCCCACACGAAACAAGGCGTCCTCATCGCCTCCCAGCACCGCAAGCGCGCGCCCTACCTCGCCTCCCGTCTTGCGGGTTTGGTCGTCAGCGCGGTGAGCAGCGGGGGGAGTGCGAGCGTTGGCGTAGGTTTCATCCGCAGCATGACCCCCGTCGAGCGCCACGCGGAGCTCGTGTACGCCGAGTCGCTGTTCGAGAAGGCGCTGCTGGGGATCGTGTATAGCGGGGATTGGCTCGCTTTTGTCAAGGAGGCGTGAGTGGTTCTTCTTCTCCCTTCTTTATTCTATGCGTCTCTCTTCTTTATTTTATGCGTCTCTCTTCTTTATTTTATGCGAGTTTTTTTTCGTGTTTTATTTCATCGCTACTCTTTTCCTGATTTTATTCCTTTGCTACTCTATTCCTCATCCCCCTATTCGCTTCATTGGATTTTTTTGCGTTCTTTTCCTGAGATTTTTGCGTTCGTTCTACTTCTATATCATTGCTGCTACTCTTTTCGTCGCTCCGCTGTTCGGCGTTGGCGATTGCGTTGTCGACTTGGGCGTTGGC